TTCAGATAGAGTGGGAGGGAGAGAGAGAGAGAGAAACATCAATGTGAAAAGGACACATTGAGTGGTTGCCACCCGCATGACCCAACCAGGGCTGGGGACAAACAGCAACCGAGATACATGCCCTTCGCGGAAACCGAACCCGGGTCTCGACCGACGCTCTAACCGCTGAGCCAAACTGGCCAGGGTTTCCATTGATTTTTAGACAGAGTGGAAAGGACGGGGGTCAGGGGGAGGAGAGAGAGAAACATCGATGTGAGAAAGACACATTGATTGGTTGCCTCCCATACAACCCAGAATGGGGCCAGGGATCGAACCTGCAACCCAGATAGGTAGGTGCCCTTGACCGACCTACCCACGACTCTTTGGTCTGCAGGCTCTAACCACTGAGAAAACCGGCCAAGGCTTCTGACATGTTTAGAGGAAACGGAATGATAAATGAGATCTCCTTGAAAACAGCCCGGGGTGGGGAGTGGTGAATGAGGGACGGGGGACACAAGACCGGCTATGAGTTGACAGCTGTTGAAAGTGGGTGCCAGGTGTGTGAGACTCTTATATTGCTCTCTCTGCTGAATATGCCTGAAAATTTCAATAACAGACACTTTCCATACTAAGAGAGAACACGATTTATTGATCCCAATCTTTGATGCTGGCTCTCAGATAATTTTTATATTATCGAATGGTCCTGGATTTGGTGCAGGTGACATTAGGTCCTGATTGCACACAGGTTTTCTTCAGGTGGAGTGAATGACTGAGCAGCAATTTTCCAAGGGAACTTGGTTGTATACACAGATCGTCACATTGAACAGGCTATGGTCTCACAAACGCAGGTTCCACGAGAGCATGGTAAGAATGTCAATGCTCTGAGCATCTTCAAACTGTGCTCTTCTCAAGGTTCCTATTCCTCTGACACCTTCACTAAACAGCTGCCCCGACATGGCCGCCAACATCCTCCCACGCCCACGTGCAACCTCCGCCTGTCTCCACTGCCACGTTTATAATCACCTTCTGAAGAATTACTGCTCCCCACCCCTTCTTCCTCCTTCGTCCCCCGCCACTTTCCAGACAAAAGTGCGTATGTGTCCTTTCTGTGATTTACACTCATCCCTCTGAACTCTGATGCCTTCCGCTGGATCGCTTTTCCATAACCTTTCTCTGCAATGAATGATCCTTACATGATACTTGTTCGAAAATGTGCCCCGTCAGGTTGGAGTTGGCATTTGGGCGCCCAGCTTCCCTAATGTTAGTCAGACTCACTTTGTCTATCTTTCCTGTTCTCTTCTCCTTCGATTCCTCCGTCCCTCTCCCCAAACTGACAAGAGGAACGGTGATGACCATAAACAAGGTCACTGTGTGTTGTTTCCACCAGGCTATCATTTCTTACCGGGCAGTCACCTTTGGACTTTCCTTTTCCATCACGTTATGGGGCTACACCGATTATTATTTGAATAAAAATACAAGGGCTGTCTATTAATATTTATAGAATTCAAAGTCCTGCCACAGTGTAGGCATTCAATCCATTTTTGTCAGAAATATTTCAGTCCCAGAATCACAGAGACAGCTGAGGTCCAGGGAACCGGAGATGCACAGAGGCTCACCAGGTCCGTCACTGCACGCGCACGGCTCTGAAATCCGGACCTGCTTCTCCCCCCAGGCTGTGTCCCTCTCGGGGGAGGCCCATCAAAAGACATCAAAAGGGCCTCACACGAGACAAAATAAGCCCAAAGTAGCGGGGGCTAACTACTTAAAGATGAATCCTAAAATTCTTAATTAAGAAAATGAGTTTAGCCCTGGCCGGTTTGGCTCAGCGGTTAGAGCGTCGGCCTGCGGTCCTGAGAGACCCGGGTTCGGTTCCCGCTAAGGGCGCATACCTTGGTTGCAGTTTGTCCCCGGCCCTGGTCAGTTGTGCGGGTGGCAGCCACTCGATGTGTTCCTTTCATGTCGATGTTTCTCTCTCTCTGTGTTCCTCTCTCTCTCCCACTCTACCTGAGCAGAAAATGGAAAAATGTCCTCCGGTGAGGATAAAGAAAAAAAAAAAGAAAATGAGTTTATTAAGGAAAATAATTTTCTAACACAACATTTTACTTTAGATGCTTTGGCCTTTCCAGATTCCTTTACGAAGTGTGCAGGGGAGGTGATCACACCAGAAAACTCAGGAACACCTAGAAAATTCAGGAAGACAGATTCTGATGGGACTGGTTCTCAAGCACTGAACGGAGTATCCTCACCGAGAAACTCACCCCTCCCTGCCTCCACACAGCATGACCCTGGTGATACAATGAACAGAACTGAAACTGGAACCATTAGGACCAGGTCACCTGCAGAGTCTGCTCTTTCTAGATGTGACTAGATTTGAGGGGAGTGACAACGGCTCCTTGGTGACGGCTGGCGGTGTTCCAGGAACAGGGTTAGGTGGCTCACGCGCACTCTGAATATGCTCCTTCCCACAACCCACGCGATGGGCATCGGTTCCCATGGGACAGACTGAACTGACGCCCAGGGGCCACGGACTAAGGTGAACTGGCGAGTTGGCTGCAAACCCAGGTCTGTCTGAGCCCAAGGCCAAGCTTCGCCCACACGGTGAAGGTGGTTTTTCGTTCCAGAGTGCCAGCACCTTCATCAGTGTTCACAGAGCCCCCGGCGCCTGAGACGTGCTTGTGACCTCTACCATCTACTTCGAGATCCTATGCAACTGGAAGCTGTTCTCTTCTTGTTTAAGTTATTTTAATTCATGTCATCAGCCAAAACTTTTTCACATCAGGACAGATTCATGAAAGAAGGCTTTCGGATCCTGAGTGTGGCAGATCTTTAAAGCTGACAAATAATAAAACATAAAGCTATGTTCCTTAACTTACATGACGTCACAATGGGGAGAATGGCCTTAACGGATGTTTCCCTTCATGTAAACACCCAGTTCGATATTCCCGACCCTTTGGCCTCGTGCATGCTGTAAGGCTATTGCCAGAGGCCCGGGGGCCAGCAGCGAGCTGACCCGTCCTCACCTCGCCTGGGACGTCCGGGGGGTCGGCCCAGAGGAGAGCTCTGGGAGGAGGAGGACAGCATGGCATGTAAGCAGGGCTGCTCCTCTGGAAGGGACAGTGTGGTTAAAAACGAATGACTACTTTACCTGCTTTATGTATTATTAATGATGATGTTTTCAAACACCATCCTTTTTAATAGGCAAAACAAAGGAATTAAATCAGGCAGGGTCTTTGAAATAGCCATTTGCCCACTACTATCATGTGTTGTGATCACTTCTATTGCAGCAATGTAAGATCAAGCTTGGAAAATGCACTGTGTAGAAAAACAAAAACATAATCCGGCTTCCTTTAAGGATATCTGATGTAAAAGCCACATTTCTAGAAATATAATTTAGATGCTGGATTTCACTGTTCCCTCTTGGCCATGCATCCCAACTCCTAAGTGTAACAGCAAACATGAATGGTTATGCTTATCAGGTGTCAGCGTCCCCTCCTGGCTGAGCAGGACGCCACCCCTGGCAGGGTCTGGACAGAGGCGAGTCCACGTCACACCATTATCAGCCGACGGCTCTGCACACAGACTCTTCACATGCACCTGTCAGGCTCATGAGGTTTGGACACCAGAGAGTATCACCATTCTAAGTGAGAATATAGATAACAGTACCCTCTTTGCCACTATTCCCAAGGTTTAATTAGCATGCCCTTGTAGTTTATTTTGAGGGAAAAGATAATACACATATTAAAACAATTTTGAAATTATACGGCCAGATAAATACCACGTATCTTTTTTCCGTATGTTAAGTCACTGCTATATACTTTTCTTGGAGTGCTGAACAATTGTGCTATAGAAAGGACATCAAATGATGCTTAGAAATGTGATACACATTTTCATTTCACACTCCATCAGCTTTTACAACTGTAGCTCAACGAAACGTAAGAGAGAGCTTGGCAAACAGCCATATTTGCCAAGGTATAAAATAGGGGTCAGGTTACTTTTTTATAGAAAGAAAAAAAATGTTTAATTTTCAGTCCACGTGACTAAAGCAGATCTTCAGCTAACACCCATAGGGTAGCGATTTGCCAGCGCTGTGCTGCGGCAGACACACGGCTGTGCAGCCAGAATCTTTAAAACATCGATACCGGACTATGTAGGCAGGGGCACTGACCTCTGTGCCCTTGGACTGTTATGTGAGAAAATGACAGCAGCCAACACAACAATAGCCGTCTGGTATGAATGAATCAAAATTATACTTTTTTTGGGGTCACATTGGCATAGAATATATTTTTTGGTGTACCACAGCATTTTAGTAATTAGTTTATGTGTGCCATGAGATGGGAAAGGTTGAACATTGCTGAACTAGAGAAAGGCACCATAGCACATATACTGACATGGTTTAGTGCCTGTTTAACTTTGGGTTTTTCTTGAACATTCTTTTTCTTTCTTTGTTTTTAGAGAGAGCGGAAGGGAGAGGGAGAGAGAGATAGAGACATCGATGAGAGAGAACACTGATTGGCCGCCTCCTGCATGCCCCCCACTGGGGATCGGGCCCACAACCTGGGCATGTGCCCTGACCGGGAATCGAACCGGCGACCTCTTGGTGCGTGGGTTGACACTCAACCACTGAGCCACTCAGGCTGGGCTCACTGTAGGTTTTTAATAAACAGCTTCTTAAAGCAAGAAAATATGTCTTCCCTCACCCCCTTCCACTCGGGACCTACTGACACAGAAACACACCGGATCTGATCTTCGTCGGTATTCAATCTTTCACCTGAAAAGAAAGTTTCTCGCCCTCTGCTCCCAGGCCAGAAGCAGGAACAGCTTATTCCCCGAACAGGCACAGAAGGAGGAGAGAGCTAGAGGCGTCAGCGGAAATGCGTTTCTCGTGCAGGTGGCGGTCTGTCGGGGATTGCAGCCTCACGCAGACGCACCGAGGGGCAGAAGGACAGCAGGAACGGTCCGGGATCGCCCTGCTCCCTCGGCGGCTGCTCGCCAGCAGCGCAGAGGAAGCATCTTTCACTCACCTCTGTCAAACCTGAGACTTCTCCTTTTGCTAATGGCTTGCTGATGGATGGCGTGTATACTTTGGCGTCTGCTACTGGCTGCCCTTTCATAAAATGCTTTCCTGATTCATAAATGTCCACTTCGACCATTTTCCCCATGAACATGGGGTTCTTTGGCACTAAAACCTTAAAAGAGAATTTTCAGAAGGCTTAATTTGTAAAATAAACTTTTAATTTTAGAACAGTTTTCAATTTATAGAATTACTGCGAGGAGAGCACAGAGAGTTCCCGTATACCCCATACTCAGACTCCCTGGGAAACATTTTCCATCAGTCGGACAGACTTGTCACAATTAATGAGCTCTTATTGGTGTATTATTATTAACCAAAATCCATACTTTCTTCGGAATTCCTCAGCTGCCAACTAATGTCCTTTTTCTATTCTGGGGCGCCACCCCAAGTGGGCTCCATCTCCCAGCTGCTCCGGGACCTGGGGACCGAGGGGGAGGGCAGGCCCTCCGGGACGCCGGCTGTCCTGAGGCATGTGGGAGGCAGAGCTGGGAAGTCCCAGCAGTCAGCCAGTCTCTTGGACAGGCCTTTGATATTCTGCGCTTGGCTGTCCCATGCAATGAAGGAAATGGAGAAAACACTGATGAAAGCCTCATACTTTTAATATCTTCCAAGTTAGCTGTCGGAGTACATGTTTGAGTAGGCACTTAAAATAAAGGCCTGCATGTCTGCGTGTATGTATGTGCGTGCATGTGTGCATGAGCATGTGTTTGGGGGGAAGAGAAAGTACATATAAGAGCAACCTTTTCAATATCCCAAACATGGACGTTTGGGGATAAACGGCTCCTTTAACTGATTGCCTTTCAGGTCTTTCACTCTGTTATAAAATGCATGTGTTTGTTGATTCTACGTCCAGGTGGAATCAGCTCCTCTGAAGGGTCCTTTGGCTAATTCACAGGAAACTGTCAGATGGTCTCTTTTCACTAGAGATTTCGATAAAAGTCCTTGTTTACCTCGAGCAAATGTTTCTCCTGCTTTGGGGCTCACAGGTAGTTTGTATGCATTATGTCTCTCCCACACCTCTATTTTAAGACTGTAGCTACTGGCCAATCTTTGAAAGGTAGGATCCAAAATAAAGAGACTAATTCTAATCCAGCAATACTTTGATGTCTTGATACAATCTTTACTTCTGGAACTCATTTTATTAGAAAAATAATTCCTAGGAAATCTTTGATACTTAGTTGTAGAGACAAAAAAGTCAGACGAGAGCGGCAGTCCCCAGCCAGCTTCTCTGAGGCCACGGTGGGTCTCGGTGGGTCTCGGTGGGTCTGAGTGATTTTTCATGACCACTGAGCACACTGCTTCATCAAAGTGTAGGAAGAAGGTCACCCGGGTGGCGAGTTACTCAGGGCAAGCTGATGAACTAAGAGAGCTTTAGTATCAGAATATGAAAGCCCTTTTAAATCAGTTTTTATAAAACGAAAAAAATCTCTAGAGTAAACTATCCCGGGGAGCTCTGGTGCGATTCTGGGGGGAAAGAACTCTCCTTGATCCTGCTGCCTTGATCTGAATGAAGGGCTCAGTGTTTTTCCCCCTCCGGTTTTAATAATTGGAAAAAGCCTGGCTGCTTTAAATTGGAGGAAACAGCTAATGAGGCATGCCATTGCCTTTAAAATGAAGGGGGAAAAAGTTCCCCGCTGAGGCAAAAACCCAGATGGCAAGAGAGCGGGAAGAGGCAAGGAAAATCCAATCGCGCCCCTCCCCAGGGCCGAGCGGAACGCTGGCCCGAATAGGAAGCCGGCTCTCTGGAGTCAATTAACGAGATGGAAAATGGGGAGGACTCCGCTCAAGCAGGAGTGCTGGAAATCCTCCCTCCACTCTCTCTCCGCTGGGCACTGAACGGGCTTGTTTAGTCTGGGTCTTGCAAAGCTGCCCCCACCCAGGGCCCAGTCTGAGATGGTTCCTGGTGGAACATCAGTGCTGGAGGCCCCTCGGCTAGGCCGTCCCTGCTCTGACACGTGCAGCAGCTGCCCCTGCCACCCCGACCTGGCGCCCACGTGCGTCTTTGGAGCTTTCTCCAGCTCTAATTCCAGCCGTGGTCTACAGGGGAAAACAGTCACTTCTCATGTGATGACAAAGGAACATAAAAGCAGGGAAACCCATTTGATCTTAAACGTCAAGACAATCCAGGAATGGCCCCTGAAATCCCTGTCCCCACGAACGTGTCCCACCTGAGAGGGACATCCCACCCCCACCCCCAGGGCCCCTGAGGGAGGCATGCTGCCTTCGCTGTCATTTCTGAGTCGCTCTGCCGCCCGGGCAAGTGAAGTCCCAAACGCTGGGGCAGAGGTGTGGCTGCTGGTGAGCAGGGCGGGCCAGGCCAGCTCACGGGCAGGGGCAACCCCAGGACTGGCCTTGAGAAGGCTCTAATACAGCTGGTTCCATCCTCACACTGCTCTCTGGAGCTGTGCACACAATTTGAGCTGAATCCAAGGAATAGACTCTTTTCCTTTTGCTCCCAGCACTTTTATCAAGGTGAGAGTTAAGCAAAAAACAAAAAACTAAAACAAAACAAAACTAAAAAACCAACCAACCAATAACCTGTGTGAGTGCCCCGACAGTAAGAGGAAGTCCCTGCCCTTCCATGCCGATGTGGCCATGCAGACATCCTTCCTGTCGCTGGACAGGACCTTCCCCTCGGCGCTGCCAGGCTGTGGGGACTTTGGCAGGGAAAGCTGCCTGTTCCAAATCCCCAAAGCCTAAGGCTGGCCCTGTCACAGACTAATGAGGACCCAAACACACATATTCCTTTATAAAGAATGTTTTGTAGACTAAGCCACAAAGATAAGCCCGTGTTAGCCTGGGGGCTTGCTGCTATAAAATCGCCTTGCTGCAAAGAGATGCTCCAGCCCACCCCCTCTCCCAGGCTTCAGTCCCTTCTGCTTAAACACACTTTTACATCTTGGAGAAAACCTAAGAACACAGAAGTATCTCTTACCTGCTCATAGAATCGATTGTGTGCAACATAAAACTTGGAATCAAAAGATTCTTCGGTTACTAACACTTGTTGTCTTTCACCAATCTGGGAAGAGAAGGGGAGAAAAAAGGAATGATGAGGACAAACACCTGAGGATTCAAAATAAACACCAGCCCCGTAAGTAGCATCCTCTTGAATTTAACGTAGACTCTAAATTGCTAGTTACCGAACAGCTAATATAAGAATCATGGATTCAAATGTCCTGAAAGACATTATTAACTATTTGGTAATAAAAATGAACATAGTATGAAATATTATTTTCTTACTTAAGTATGAAACAAAACCTGATCTTATTTCCTCCTTCAACATAAGATAATTAAGGCTTCTAAGACATACAAAAATCTTCTAAATATCACTTTGTTTCTTAAAACAAAGTTGCAAAACAAGCCAGAACAAGCTGATTCAAATCCAAATTCATGAAAATATTTTGGCAATATGAGAGGGCAGTAATAAACATTAATTTGAGTTATGAGGGATGTAACACTAAAGAAAACGCCTCCAAAAACTAGTCATTAAGTCCGTGTACCTAAACATTTCGCATACTATCCTGAAATTACTGATTAATTCACACAGCTATTTATTTATTATATACATTTTCCGTCACAGGCAACTGTCTCTTCTATGTTGCAGCCATGACCCCATATTCACATTTTTAAAGAGAAATACAGCAAAAATATGGGACTGTTACTTCTCTACAGGATCAATCTACATTTATCTATATTTATGATCTACGCATGCATTTTTAATAACCAAGAAGTTAAATCGGACAAAACATGAGATAAAGAAATGTGACTATTCTAAAATATTCTATCACTTCCAAGTTTATTCCACTGTGAAATGTAACATTTAAAGTATCAATTACCGCCCTGGCCGGTTTGGCTCAGCGGTTAGAGCGTCAGCCTGCGGTCCGGAGAGACCCAGGTTCGGTTCCCGCTAAGGGCGCGTACCTCGGTTGCAGTTTGTCCCCGGCCCTGGTCGGTCGTGTGGGTGGCAGCCACTCGATGTGTCCCTTTCATATCGATGTCTCTCTCTCTCTCTCTGTTCCTCTCTCTCCCTCCCACTCTACCTGAACAAAAAATGGAAAAATGTCCTCGGGTGAGGATAAAAAAAAATAAATAAATAAATAAAGTATCAATTACTTATTTTTGCAAGGTTGTCAAAATGTCTGATGTAGCAAACCAGCTGTATTGAATGACTATGCCCATCATTATTTTTGCCATCGCGACTTGGTAAATATAACCCTCCATATTAAAGCACATGGGCATGAAGATTTTTAAAAAGCAATCCCCAGTCTCATATGTAACATACTTGCCACCAAGTTCAGGCAATTCTCATTTAAGAAACACAAACACAGCTGCACTAAATAGACCACCTAACAATTAAAAAAAAAAAAAAGTCCCACTCTCTTTAACATACAATGCCAATACCTAAATACACCATAACTACTTTTTTTTTTTTTTTTTTTTACTGTAACATTCAAAATGTAGCCCCTTTAGCCAAAGATTGTAGGGTTTCTAGGATGATATTTATCAACGACTTATTTCACTATCTGAAAACCAATAATAGCTCCCGCAACATTAATTTCTTTCAAAAATTAAGTAGCCACCAAAGAAAGTTCTCCCAACTTCTATTTTTGAGCTTTGTTTGATAAAAAGACTGGTGAATGCTGGGTTTCACTGAAGTATACTTTCCTGCAAGAAAACTTAGAATGTTTGCATACACTTCACAGTGTGAGTTGCTTATAACTTAGGATAAGTATCTGTTGATGGTTCTTAAGGAAATCTGCAATTACACTTCATCTAACATTAAGGAAATTATTCTGACAACAAACAATATGGGTTTGCAGAGGCACTGAAACTTACGCTGTTTCTTTCGTCTTGTTCGAGTTAACGTGGACTGTGACAGTCCCTGTTTTGGGGCTGTTCTGTTTTATCTGGAGATCATGCCACTATATACACAGTTAGAAGACTTGCCATGTTTATACCGCAGGGGGGCAGGGCCTTCGATCAACCATCAGAGAGCTATTTTTAGGTGAGTATTTAATTATTATTTGCCAAAGGAATTCAGGAAAACTGCTCTGTGCTGTAATTTGTAGTGGCAAACAACTCTTCAGTCACCCTTTGGTCTTCTCAGCCCTCGATGTTTCACCTCATTGGCGAGGCTCCTGAAATTCCTGGGCAGAATGAGCCCAAGAAAGCTAAGGCCTTGATCAAAAGCTGCTACCATCTATCCACACCCTCTAAAAAACACCAACAGAAAGTAATAAATGTTCTCAATATTTGTTTAAGACTAAAGTTACAATGAACTGAATATAAAATACAACTGTTAAGAGAATCAGCTATTTCAAGTCACCTTTAAACAACGATGTTAAGGAAGCGAGAGTCCGGTGGGTCTCGGGAAGAGGTGACTTTGCCTTGGTGACAATAAGGAAACGTATGGGCCAAGGACATGTATAGTAAACCTCACATCTTTCATTTCACTTTTTAAAAATGAGCACCACCCCCCCACACACACACTTTCCAACTGTTTTCTCCTCAACCCCACAAGATAATCCAGTGTGGTTAAGATCTGCATGTAACACGATTGAGGGCAGTCATCCAGACCTGCCTACCAGTGCCTCTGCTGTCCAGCAAGGAATCCCAGTCTAAGAGGGAAAAGGCAGGGCATCTGAAGACAAAAAGACAAGGCCACATGCATCCTTAGACAACAGGACAATAAGCATCCAGGCAGGTATTATGCTAATGACAGAGATAATCCCCAAAATTGATCAGATCAGACTGTTCTACAGATAATGATGGAGATGAGGTATCTCATCTGACATTCTGCTATCCTGCTGAGAAATAGCTTCTATGGCTACCTCACTATCACTGATAGAACCTCCCTCACAACTGGACCCACTGACAGGAATGTGAGTACATCAAAGGCTGAAGACAAGCCCCCTGCAGAACAAGATCACAAAAAGGATGCTTGTGTAATTTTAAAAATGAACAAATTCCTGCAAACGTATGAGGTTGAAAACAATGGTTTTTATAAACTTTGTGACTAATTGCACAATATGGCTGTTCAGCAGAGATGATTAAGATGAAAGTGAAATTGTAAACCCAAAACTGGTCTAGACAGTGGCTTTAAGATAACCAGAACAGTCAAGGATAGGAAGAAAAGGGAAGAGGGAACATACTTCAACGTAATAAAAGCCATATATGACAAAACCACAGCCAACATCATACTCAACGGGCAAAAACTACAAGCATTTTTCTTAAGATTGGGAACAAGACAGGGATGTCTGCTTTCACCACTCTTATTCAACATAGTACTAGAAGTCCTAGCCACAGCAATCAGACAAGAAGAAGAAATAAAAGGCATCCAAATTGGAAAGGAAGAAGTAAAACTGTCAATATTTTGATGACATGATACTGTATATAGAGAACCCTAAAGATCCCACCAAAAAAACAACAACAAACTACTAGAACTGATAAATGAATTCAGTAAAGTAGGCAGGATACAAAATAAATATCCAGAAATCAATTGCATTTTTATACATCAATAATGAACTGTCAGAAAGGAAACTAAAAAAACAATCCCATTCATAGTTGCTTTAAAAAAATACCTAGGAATAAGTTTAACCAAGGATGTAAAAGACCGGTACTTAGAAAATCTTAAGACATTGGAGAAAGAAGTTGAGGAAGATACACATAAGTGGAAGCATATATCATGTTCGTGGATAGAAAGCATTACCATCATTAAAATGCCCGTACTACCCAAAGAAATCTAGACTCAGTGCAATTCCTATCAAGATACTAATGGTGTATATCACAGAACTAGAACAAATATTCCAAAAAATTTATGTGGAACCACAACAGGCCCTGAATAGCCACAGCAATCTTGAGAAAGAAAAAGTTGGAGGAATCATGCTACCTAATATCAAACTATACTACAAAGCCATAGTTATCAAAACAGCATGGTCCTGGCATAAAAAAAAGGCATCTAGATCAATGTAACAGCACAGAGAGCTCATGAATAAACCCATACCTTTATGGTCAATTAATATTTGACAAAAGAGGCAAATACATACAATGTGGTAAAGACAATCTATTCAATAAATGGTGTTGGTAAAATTGGACAGATATGTGCAAAAAAAAAAAAAAAAAAAATGAAGCTAGACCACCTTCTTACACCATACACAAGAATGAACTCAAAATGGATAAGGATTTAAATGTCAGTCTCGAAATCAGAGAGATCCTATAAAATATAGGCAGTAAATCTCAGACATTTCTCCTAGCCATATTTTTTCTGATGTATTTCCTGGGGCAAGGGAAACAAAAGAAAAAAAATAAACAAATGGGACTACATCAAAATAAAAGTTTTTGAACAGCAAAGGAAACCATCAATAAAATGAAAAGACAACCCACTGAATCAGAGAAAATATATGCCAGTGATAGAGCTGATAAGAGGTTAATATCTAAAATTTATAAAGAACTTATAAAACTCAACACCAAATAAACAAACAATTCAATTAAAAAATGGGCAAAGGACCTGAGTTGACACTTCTCCAAAGAGAACATACAGATGGTCGATAGACATATGAAAAGATGCTAAACATCACTAATCATCAGTGAGACGCAAATTAAAACCACAATGAGTCCTGGCCAGGTGGCTCAGTTGGTTGGAGTGTTGTCCTGTACACCAAAAGGTTGTGGGTTTGACTCCTGGTCAGGGCACATAGGGGCAGCAACCAATTGATATTTCTCTCTCACATTGATGTTTCTCTCTCTTTCTCCCTTTCCTTCTCTCTAAAAATCAATTAAAAAACAAAACGTATCCTCAGATGAGGATAAAAAAAACCCACCACAATATCATCTCACATCTGTCAGAATGGCTATCATCAATAAATTAACAAACACCAAGTGTTGGCAAGGATGTGGAGAAAAGAGAACCTTCTGTTGAGGGTTGATGGTAACACAGATCAGTACAGCCACTGTGGAAACCCGTATGTAGTTATGTCAAAATGTTAAAAATGGAACTGCTACCATGGCCTATTTGGCTCA